CCCGCCCCGCACCCCGCGCCCCGCTGCCGCCCGCTCTGGAGGGGCCTTTTCCTCGGTCGGAGCGCGGTCGCGGAGCCCCGGTTCCCGCGCAGCCCGTGAGTGGCCTCGTGAGTTTTGCACGGCATCCTCGGTGCCTCTTGTTTGAAGCCGGGCTTCCATAACTTTAAAGCACTTCGTTTTAAACTCAAAGCGCACTCACCCTTGGCGCGTCCGTGAGGACCTCCCAGCACTGAGAACTTTTCACCCGGGATGCGTTTGCGGCCGGTGCCAGGGAGCGGGCTGCCTCCGTGGCTGCTGACCTCCGTTGCAGGTCGAGCTCCCTGTTCCATCTTTCCCCCGTCGCTGCTACACTTGATTGGTCTCAGAAACAAAAATGAAAAGAATGTGCTTCCGTTTCACACGATTTCAGAAATTTAACCTGAACTTACTGATGCTGCTTTAAAGACCCTACTGTCGCCCGAGCGCGTCCGTCATCAGAGTGGGTGCGAGAAGGGAGGTGCAGCCTTGCAGCCTGAAGGCAGGAGGCTGGGAAACGGTTTTGGTTCATTCGAAGCTCTTGAATGTTACCCCAGAGCGGAAATCGACATTGTTTGGAAACAGTGGCTTTTAATTAAATTGGGTTAGCGCAGGGAAACTAGGTGGTAGTTCTTCCAGACAGTTCTAGTCTCCCTGGCCCGCGCCATTGTCCCCCCTCCTTGAGTCCTCTTTGTACGCTGGGCACCAAGCCTTGTGTGGCTTGATAGATGAGGCCCCGTGCTGTCCCTTGGCCTTGGAGCTCGGTTCTGCAGCTTTGTCCTTCTGCTGTGTTCTGTGTTGCCACTTTGAGGGTCGCCCTGGCCGAGACCGTGGTAATGGTTCAGTCCCTGTGGATGGATCCTTGCATTTCTTTGACTTAGGTTGGACTTGGGGTCCACAGAACGTGTCTCTTGCTACTTGAAGTATGTAAGTGAGAATGCCAAAGTAGTTTTTTCTTTGTTTTTAGCGGATGCATGGAGGCCTTTCTAGTTATGGAGGTACTTGCTCACATGCAGTGATGTGCACAAGAAGCAGAAGTAGGAAGAGGCTCTAATCTCAGAGAGGACACATTTTAGTGGGTAGATAAAAGAACGAAGCGAACAGGTATTTTTCACCAGTGCACTGGGAACACTGAAAATGTTTTTTTAGCCAGGCGCGGTGGCTCGGGCCTATAATCCCAGCACTTTGGGAGGCTGAGGAGGGTGGATCACAGGGTCAGGAGTTTGAGACCAGCCTGGCCAGCATGGTGAAACCCTGTTTTTAGTACAAATAAAAAAGCCGAGTGTGGTGGCACATGTCTGTAATCCCAGCTACTTGGGAGGCTGAGGAAGGAGAATTGCTTGAATCCAGGAGGTGGAGGTTGCAGTGAGCTGAGATCACACCACTGCACTCCAGCCTGGGTAACAGGGTGAGATTCTGTCTCGAAAAGAAAGAAAATCCAGGTTTCATAGCTGGGTACGGTGGCGCACGCCTGTAGTCGCAGCTGCTCAGGGGGCTGTGGCAGGAGAATTGCTTGAACCTGGGAAGCGGAGGTTTCGGTGAGCGGAGATCGCGCCACTGCACTCCAGCCTGGGTAACAAGAGCAAAACTCCGTCTCAATTAAAAAAAAAAAAAAAAAAAAAAAAAAAGAAAATCCAGGTTTCTGTGTCTGTGTCCTGGGCCTCCCACAGGAGGCTCTCGGGGGTGTTCACCTTGATCGCTGGGTTACTTTGAGGCTGTGAGTGCAATTTCTCGCCATGCGTTCTTCACACATCCAGCAGCATGGATGCATCTGGCCTGAGACTGTTGTGTTGGGGTGTTGGTCAGGTGGTGGTTTTAAAGCACTTTCCTCATTCCCTGTGTACCCACTAGTGGCTCCCCACTGCCCTGTGAGGAGGTGCTTTCCTGCCACGCCCACCTCACCTGGGTTCGTGGGTTCCTGGGTCCGTGGGTCCGTGGGTCCGTGGGGCCATGGGTTCCTGGGTTGCTGGGTCCCTGGGTCTGTGGGTTCTTGGGTCCCTGGGTTCGTGTGTTCCTGGGTCCCTGGGTCTGTGAGTTCTTGGGTCCTTGGGTTCCTGGGTCCATGGGTTCCTAAGGATGTGAGTTCCTGGGTTCCTGGGTCAGTGGGTCCATGGCTTCATGAGTTCCTGGGTTTGTGGGCTCCTGGATCTGTGGGATTTCCTGGGTTCCTGGATCCATGGGTCTGTGGGTTCCTGGGTCCGTGGGTTCCTGGGTCCGTGGGTTCCTGGGTTCCTGCGTTTGCAGCCACTCACTTTGCTCTGTGTTACCTGTAGGCTGCTGGGGAGCCATCCTCACTTCCTGTACTTTGACGGGTTCCAACTCTTTTCTTTTCCCCAGCCCTGAAATCAGTCCCTTTTACCATTTCTACATAGACTATGAGTGTGAGGCCTGTTTGTTTTTGACAGAGTCTTGCTCTGTTGCCAGGCTGGAGTGCAGTGGTGCGATCTCGGCTCACTGCAGCCTCCGCCTCCCAGGTTCAAGCAATTCTCCTTCCTCAGCCTCCCGAGTAGCTGGGACTACAGGCACGCACCACCACACCCAGCTAATTTTTGTATTTTTTAGTAGAGATGGGGTTTCACCATGTTGGCCAGGATGGTCTCGATCTCTTGACCTTGTGATCTGCCCGCCTGAGCCTCCCAAAGTGCTGGGATTACAGACGTGAACCACTGCTCCCAGTGAGGCCTATTTTTTTTTTTTTTTTTTTAGGCGGAGTTTCATGTTACCCAGGCTGGAGTGCAATGGCGCGATCTTGGCTCACCGCAACCTCTGCCTCCTGGGTTCAGGCAATTCTCCTGCCTCAGCCTCCTGAGTAGCTGGGATTACAGGCATGCACCACTATGCCCAGCTATTTTTTTTGTATTTTTAGTAGAGACGGGGTTTCACCATGTTGACCAGGATGGTCTCGATCTCTTGACCTCGTGATCCATCCGCCTCGGCCTCCCAAAGTGCTGGGATTACAGGCTTGAGCCACCGCGCCCGGCCAGTGAGGCCTATTTTTAAAATAAAATCTGAGTTCTTATTTTTTCAAGTTGTATTGTGGCTGCTGTCGCCTTTCTAGGGTTATATGTGTGCTTTGTGTGACCAGGAGGTTTCAGAGGGCAGGTGAGCAAGCCCCTCGTGGTGCATGGTTGAAGGAAGCTGGCCCCTTTCCTTGCAGGAGTGGGTGGTGGGATTAGGGAGGGAGGCCAGCTTGTCAGCCATAGAGCCCCATCCTGTGAGGGCTCTGAAGCTGGGACGGAGGTGAGTCTGGGCCCTGGCCGTGAGCTGGCACCCCAGTTGCTGTGGCTTTTCCCCAGCTGACCTCCGGCCAGTATTGGGTATGCAGTGTGGCTGGCTCTGATCTGTGCTCCTTAGTTTGAGACAGTTTGAATGGAGCCCCTGCTGCGGAGAGACCTTCTGAGGCATCACAGTGGGCCTGGCTGGCCCTGGCCTGGCGCACGGCACCCCTCTTGGAGTCCAGGGTTCTTGGCTGTGGGCTGGAGGTGATGGTGGCTGCCAAGGGTGGTGGGAGTGGTCAGCGCTGAGCGTGCAATTTCAGATCCAGTGAGCCACACAGGCACAGCCTTTAGCTGATGTGGTGTGTCCCCTGGCTGGGAGCAGCCCCATGGGTGGTGGCGCCTGTCAGGACCTGTGCCTGTGTTTGATCGCCCAGTTCTCTGGGCCTGGCAGCCTCAGGGCTGTACCTGCTGACGGGAAGGCCTCGAGCCAGGCCAGGTGGCCCGCTGTGCACGTAGCTGTTGTGTTGGTGGTGGCGCCTTTTCCCTGCCCCTTGTTCAGGAAGATGCTGGCTTTTGGGTTCTGGGGAAATGCCTGTTGGTTCCTGTTGAGAGCAGGTGTATATGTACATTTTAAGCATGGAATGCGGGTATTAACCGTGTTGAAACCTTTTCAGCACTGGCAGAAATGTGCCTGTGAGTCTCCTCTGGCCTCTTACTTTACTGGACGGTGCCATGAACTTGGATGCTGCCTGCCTTCCTAGTGTGGCTTTCATGGCTGGGCAGTCCTTCTGATGGGATGGCTCACGTGGCTCCCACATGGCAGGCTTTTGGGGCAGATGCTCGTGAGTGGTGCTGCCACGAGCACCTCACCTGGGTTTGAGGAACGAAGCAAACAGATATTTTTCACCAGTGCACTGGGAACGTTGAAAATGTTTTTTAGCCAGGCGCGGTGGCTCTGGCCTATAATCCCAGCAATTTGGGAGGCTGAGGAGGGCGGATCACAGGGTCAGGAGTTTGAGACCAGCCTGGCCAGCAGGGTTGCCTTTGTTGGTGGAGGTACAGCCTAGGCTTTGGCGTCCTTGCCGAGGGCAGCCCGTGGGCCCCAGGAGACGGGCTGGAAGCCAGAGCCAGGCAGCAGCTGAGGAAGAACACCCTGGAGGTTGTGTGCAGGTGCCGTCACTGGTGTCTTCACTACCAGGCACTTTTCTTTTTCTCTGGAGTTCCTTTTTAAGGGTGTCCTGGTCTTCACGGAGGTGCACTGTCACTCTGAGTGCAGAGGCCGCTGCCGGAGAAGGTCTCCCCTTCCCACTGGTGCTCTCGTCCATCTTGCTGGTTTTGCTTGTTTGCCCCCGCTCATCTGTTTTGGCCTCTGTTGGGTCTGAACTAGGTGGCCTTGGCAGCTGTCACACCCAACAGTGGGACCCTGAGAAGGGTCGAAGCTGGGGCAGGTGGGGACACGCTAGGCACAGGGCCACCTTGCTGGGTGCCTTGGCCAGTTAGTGTCTGTTGGGAGCAGCCCCAGGGCTGCCCTGCAGCCTCTGCCTGCAGTATAGTTGGGGCTGCCCATGCCTGGGGCTGGAGCGCTCAGGGCCTGAAACACCCCCTGAGTCCTTGCTCTTCCTCAGCCGGCCCCTTGCTGTCAGTAGGCTGGGTGCAGACCCTGGCAGGCTCCCTGTGCCCCAGCTTCATTGCAGAGCGCTTGCCCAGCTGGCTGGTGTGGGGGTGAGGGTGGTGTTTGGCCACTTGGAGCAGAAGGGGATGGATAGTCAGGGTTTCTGCATTCCTGGCTTGATACTGGCTTTCCAGCAGCTTTCCAGCTTCCAGATGTCCTTGCCATTGTCTCCCGTCCTGTTTTCTCTTTTGGAGCAGGGGCCTGGGGTGGCCTTCTTTCAGTGGAGGCTTCCGGAGGGTGGGTCTAACATGCCTTTGCCTTTAACCAGAAGACCACTGTGATTAGATTTTCCAGAACAGAATTCGCATGGTAGTTTTGAAAATGGGAGGGAGGGTGTGAGGCGGGATTTCAGAAACACGTTATACACCGGGACTCGGCACGTAACAGCGACATCAAGGAAATGGTTTTGCGTGATTTCTCTCTTTTGAGAAACAGACACAAATCCTGAAGAGCCTGTGGGTGTGGACCGTTCATCAGTAAAGTGGAGACATGACCTTGAGATTTGGTTCAGATCTAGCAATGCCGGGGCCTTCTCAAGTCTGATGTTCCAGGACTTCAGTGCCTGTTGGTGTGAACGGAGGACACAGGGCTCCGACCATGGTCACACTCATCACGGAGAAGCTGCAGAGCCAGAGCCTGGATGACCTCACCTGCAAGGCCGAGGCTGGCCCGGTAAGCAGCTGTGGGTGGCTTGAGGCTGGGTGCTGCTCCCCCATGCTGTCACAGGGGAATGGCCACACTGGGAGGTGGAGGCCAGGGCTAAGTTCTCAGGGGCTTGGGGGCTCTGCTGGCCACGGATGGGGGTGTCTGGTGCACATGTGGGCCCCAGAGCCCCAAGTGCAGGTGTGCCTGTTACCATCCAGTCAAGCAGCAGCACGCATCCCCAACGGACTCCCTGTCCCTTCCCTCCTAGCCCCCCTGCCAAGGGAGCCTCTGTTTTGGATTTCATCACCAGGTTAGCTTCTTTGGGTTTGGACTTCCTACAGGTGGGTTGATTTTCCTGCAGCCGTGGTGAATGGACTTCGGATGTGGCACCTGCAGCGCCCCCTGCCCTGGTTAGATGGCGGATGCAGAAGGAGATGGCTGATGTCTAGCCTGGAGGGTCTTGCCAGGGCCTCAGAGCCAGCAGGGGTTCTTGGAGTGCCTGCCTGTCCTGGGCCTGGCTTCGGTGTGGCTCTGGAGGCATGGGCATGCTGCATTTGTAACCTCTTGCAAGTTCTGGAAATGAGAGGGCAATGGGAAAGCTGTGAAGTCTCAGGCCTCTGGACTGGGTTCGTGTGACCTGTCTTCACCTCAGGGGGTTCCAGTGAGAGTCTGAGGGTCCAAGCTGAAGCCGCTGCTCCTGAGAGCGGGCGAGTGTGGGTGTTGGGCTGTGGGAGGTGGCATGTGGCCCGAACTTTTGCAGGCACTGCTTGTGGGGCCTGGTGCTCAGGGCCACTGTGACCGAGGTGACCTTCGCAGTGCTGGCTGTGTCCTGCAGTCAGTACCTTTCCAGCTGTCAGGCCACGTGTGGGAGGTGGCTGAGGCGGGGAAGGTAGTGCTTGCCTGGTGTCTCAGAGACTTGCTGGCTGCAAAGCTGTGTTCTTTCCAGATATCGTGGCTGGTTCCCATCTTTTCTTTTTTCTTTTTCTTTTTTTTTCTGGAAACAGAGTCCTGCTCTGTTGTCCACGTTGGACTGTAGTTGCACCATCTCAGCTCACTGTAACCTCCGCCTCGTGGGTTCAAGTGATTCTCGTGCCTCGGCCTCCTGAGTAGCTGGGATTATAGGTACCCACCACACCTGGCTAAATTTTTGCATTTATTTATTTAGTTTTGGAGATGGAGTCTTGCTCTGTCACCCAGGATGGAGTGCAATTGTGTGATCTCGGCTTACTGCAACCTCCGCCTCCCGGGTTCAAGTGATTCTCCTGCCTCAGCCTCCTGAGTAGCTGGGATTACAGGCACTTATTTTTGTATTTTTAGTAGAGATAGGGTTTCACGATGTTGGTCAGGCTGGTCTTGAATTCGATGATCTGCCTGCTTTGGCCTCCCAAAGTGCTGGGATTACAGGTGTGAGCCACTGCGCCCTGCGTAAATTTTGTATTTTTAGTAGAGGTGGGATTTCTCCATATTGGCCAGGCTGGTCGTGAGCTCCTGGCTTTCAGTGATCCGCCCGCCTTGGCCTCCCAAAGTGTTGGGATTACAGGTGTGAGGCACTGCACTCGGCCCCATTTTTTCTTTTATGATTAAATGGAGAAAACTATTTATTTATTTATTTATTTATTTAGAGACAGAGTCCACTCTGTCACCGAGGCTGGAGTGCAGTGGCACAATCTCAGCTCACTGCACCCTCTGCCTCCTGGGTTCAAGTGATTCTCTTGCCTCAACCTCCCCAGTAACTGGGACTATAGGCACCCACCACTACACCTGGCTAATTGAGAAAACATTTTTAGGGCCAGGTGCGGCGGCTCATGCCTGTAATCCCAGCACTTTGGGAGGCCAAGGTGGGCGGATCACCTGAGGTCAGGAGTTCGAGACCAGCCTGGCCAACATGGAGAAACCCTGTCTCTACTAAAAATATAAAATTAGCTGGGCATGGTGGTACATGCCTGTAATCCCAGCTACTTGGGAGGCTGAGGCAGGAGAATCACTTGAACCCGAGAGGCAGAGGTTGCAGTGAGCCGAAATTGTGTCATTACGTTCCATCCTTGGCAACAAGAGGGAAACTCAGTCTCAAAAAAAAAAAACAGAGAAAACATTTTTAAGGAGTCTGTAACCAAGACCAAAGTAGCACATGTCTATCAGATGGCTGCGTGCCTCTGAGGACATTTTTGGGAAGGGGACACCAGCCAGGGCTGGGGCGGCTTTCCAGGAAGGTGGCTGCGCAGCATGCCTGCTGGGCCTGGGAGGTGTCTGCACAGATGTCCTGGTGTGGGGTGACCCACAGACCTCCACGTCCTCTGCGCTTTGGGTGACCGCTCTTCACCTCTCTTTTTTTTAGCTTTTATTTTAGATATGGAGGTACAGGTGCAGATTTGTCACTTGGGTGTACTGCTCTTGGCTTGTGAGCAGTCCGTAGTAGGTAGCTCTTCAGCCTTTGCCTCCTCCCTGCCTCCCATTCTTCATCCCTTTATGGAGCATTTGTCCACTGACCGAAGGCAGCATGGGCAGCTCCTTGGTCAGCCTTGGCCTTAGGACAGGAGCCTGGGACTCCTGCAGGGTGAGTGGTCATGAGGGTCCCGTCACAGCCTGCTTCTGCTCCTGCTGACTCGGCTGGCTCTGTTAGTGGTTGTGGCGGCAGTGCCCTTGTTAATGGAATTAAGTGCCCTTAAGAAAGAGGCCCCAGAGAGGAAGCCAGCCCCTTCGACCATGCATAGATACAAGGGGAAGGGCCATCTGTGAACCAGGAGATGGCTTTACCAGACACTGAATCTGCCAGTCCCTTGACTTGGACTTCCTGCCTCCAGGACTGTGAGGAATAAGTGTTTTTGGTAAGCCCCCGCCTGAGCCTGTGGGACCTGGCTGTCCGGCCTGTCCTGGCTCCCGGGGACCCCGGCTCTGTTTGCCTGCTATACCCGTGTCCCCCATGGCCAGCACCACTGGGAGTAGCTGCTGCCCCTGGTGTGTCTTTGCACAGAGGTGGTCACATTGGGGTAACTGAGAGGTTCTGAGCCACCGTGCAGGCCTGTGGCTCCTTCGAGCTGCCTGTGGGGGCCATCTTGCCTGAAGAGAAGGTCCTTTCCTTGCTGGATGTTTGTCCCTGGCTGGAAAGTCCTTTCCTTGCTGGGCGTTTGTCCCTGTCTGGGAACGTTCTTTCTTTGCTGGACGTCTCTCCGCGGCAGTGTGGGGCTAGGTGCTGTTCATATGGCCCTGGGGGAGGTCTGCTGTGCGGAGCAGGAAGAGAGTGAGGTCATGGTGCTTGCTAGGGGAGGCCCAGGCCTGGGAGGATCTACAGCAACAAGGGTCTGTGGCGTGAATCTCTAGCAGAGCCACCTCTCCTCATTTCCCCAGGGTGGGAGAACCTGGAGGTCATCTGGTTCCCGTGGTGTGGCCAGGCGTTCACAGCTCCACACCACTGTGCTGGCTGAGGTGGGACCCTATGTGTAGGCAGCCTGTCTGTAGATGGGTGTCTTTTTTTGGGGTTACAGACCCAACTTTCATTCCCTTTATGGGAAGCAATGAAGGATTTCCTTTTAATTTTATCATGTTTGGAAATGTTATCACAGGGGGCAATGCTGGGGACTTAGGTGGTAACTGAGAGGTTCTGAGGTATGGCAGAGAAGCAGAGGGGCTGCTGTGCCCAGACCCTGCAGGACAGCCATGTCCTCTGCACAGGTGGCCTTCCATATTCTCACAGACCAGGAGGCTCTGGGAGGTTAGGGAGCTTGCTGGGGGCCCATCAGGACCCCCTCCTGTGCCCCATCCTTTGCAGGGCCCTGCGCCCTGCCTGCATGGGAGAGTGTGTGAAAGCAGACACAGAGTGGCCTCCAAGCCATGACTTGCCAAGCAGCTCCCTGGCACTGCATGGGGCAGGGAAGGGAGCCCTGTGGTGTTTCCCTTATTGCCTCCCTGCAGACCCTCAAGCTCCCACCATGCCCAGTGGCTTTCCTGCTTTGAGGGAGGAGATCCTGCCCTCTGGACATCCCCCAGACCAGTGCCACACTCCAGAGCCTGGCTGAGGGGCTCCTGTCCTGTGTCTAAGCTGTTGCAAGTGGGAAGGGTTGCTTGGGTCTTGGCTGAAGCGCTTGCTGAAAAGTAAGTTGGTGAGGTTTGCAAAGACGGCTGCCACCAGGACCACCCAACGGCAGGAGTGCCTGAGCTTCAGGAGCAGCAACAGGACGCATGCCTGTGGCTTGGAATAAAAACGTCCGTTTAGTGTTAGAGCTCTTTTATAAAGAAAAAAAGTTAAAAAATATCCATTTACACAGTTGAATTTTGTTAGGTCTTAATAAAACTGTGCTTTTTATTTTATTTTTTGAGATGGAGTTTCACTCTTATTGCCCAGGCTGGAGTTCAATGGCCTGATACTGGCTCACTGCAACTTCCACCTCCCAGGTTCAAGCAGTTCTCCTGCCTCAGCCTCCCAAGTAGCTGGGATTACAGGCACATGACACCATGCCCAGCTAATTTTGTATTTTTAGTAGAGACAGGGTTTCTCCATGTTGGTCAGGCTGGTCTTGAACGCCTGACTTCAGGTGATCCACCCACCTCAGCCTCCCAAAGTGCTGGAATTACAGGCATGAGCCACCATGACCAGCGCATTTTATTTTAATAACTAGAAAGAAAACGTGGGGAAAATAGAACGTGCTGCAGTGATGAGAACGCAGGGATGTTATTGCTGAATTCTCACGTCAGTAACAGTATTGAAACGTCTCTTCTCCGTCACTTTCAGTATTCTGCTGAAACCCTGAACAAGAGTGGTCGTCTCTTTCCTTTGGAGCTCCATGGTGAGTGCTTTAGGAGCTGTGGCCGGAGGCCTGAGCAGGGTTGAGCCAGGCTCCTGGGCTGGGAGGGTCCTGGACGCAGAACATGAGCCTGATCTTCAGAAGCCAAGGAAAGCATTCACGTGCCCTACACTGGGGCATGGATGGTGCCTGCTGCCGTCCTCCCACGGCTAGGCCAGTGGTCAGGAGTAGTCTGTGAGCAGGACAGCCTGTGTAGGGTGCGAGCCCAGCCAGGCCTCTCCCTCCTCAGCTGGTGGGGCCCAGGGGTCTGCTACGCCCTTGCTGGAAGGTGCAAGGCCTACCCTGTGGCCACTAAAAGAATAAGACGGTGTGGCTGGCACGGCATCAGTGTTAGCTGGGGGGTGCTGTGGCACACTGGGCGGCACACCTGCTGTCCATGCCATGGGGGACGTGGCTGTGCCTGGCTCACCTGCAGGTGGGGCTTTCATTGATGGAGAGCAGGTACCCGGAGTGTGGGGGCTGGTGTTCACTATCTGGGTAACTGTGGGGTCCTAGCTCCTTCTCCAGCAAAGGTCCTGGGGCCTCACCCTCTGTTGGCCCTGTTCATCCAGGTTGTGACAGTGCCCAGCGCCCTCTGTCACCTAGAGCGGGCCTTTGCGGGGATCCGTTAGGAGGCTCACCTTGCTGAGTGCCGTATTACCAAAGTGAAGGTGTTTTACCAGACTCTTTGATGAATAGATGGGAGTAGGAGGTGTGAGGCCCCAACTGGCCTGAGCCCCACCCCCTGCCCGGCCTGTGCTGTGATGTCCTTACCTCAGCCTCCTGGGGTTCATCCTGCACACAAGGCCAGACCAGCCACCTTCATCCTGGCTCAGAGCCCCGCAGGGCTTCCCACACACCTCACCTGGGCGCTCTCCCCGCCTCCACCTCTCTGCCTCCTCCCCACAACTCCCATAGCTCCCCTTGCCACCCCAGGGTCACCCCAGGGCCTTTCCCCAAAGGCAGGTCTTGCAGCCTCCACTCCAGGTTCCTTAGCTGGATGGCAACTGCACAAACCAGTGGGGGTGTACTGGGGGTCCACAAGCCCCTGCCCAGCCCGACTCCATGCCAGGCCCATGCACCTGGCCTTGCTCTCAAGGCTTCTCCCAACCAGCAGTGATGGGATGAGCAGGCGGTGGCAGTGGGGCTGGGGAGCACATCAGGCGGGCGGCCCCGGGACAGCTGTGGGGGATGTGAGGCTAAGGAGGGGCTTGAGTCCTGGGCCTGGTGGCTCTGAGGTTTGCGAGGAGTTTCTGGGGCTCAGATTCCCTGGAGACCCTGGCCACAGGTGGGACCCTCTGTTGCCCATGGGACCTGAGCTGCTTTAAGAAGAGGCTCTGGGGGGTCCTGGCCGGGGAAGCCCACACCCGTGAGATGTGTGGCCGCAGAGGGAGGGAAGTGTTTTGAAAATGTAGGAAGAAAGTTTTAGCAAAGCGGTTGGGAGAGCAGAGCCTCGTGATTGTTTTTAGGGAGGCACTGGCCGGGAGGCTGACACCTCTTTCAGACACGGCATCCCCTTAAAAAGTGAGCCAAGTCCCGCAGCCAACCTGGTGAGGGCAGATGGGGCTGATGCCCACTTTGCGCCATGGACATCTCTGAGAAGCATGCCTGGGGTGATGGCAATGGCTGTGCCCTTGACGGCTCTGCTGGGCAGTTTGCCAGGATGGCTGTTGCCCCATGCAGTGGGAAGAGGCTGGGCCTGCCCTGTGGCTCACCTGTCTCTTCCCCTGCCTCTTTGTGTCTTTTCTGTAGACCAGAGTCCCTGGAAGGTCTTAGGTGGAGGACGGCCTGTCGGGAGCCAGGCAGCCGTGGGCCCTGATTTCTCCTTCCTGCCGGGCCTGTCTGCTGCGCACACCATGGGTCTCCAGTGGCGGCCAGAGTCCCCAGGCCTAGGTGCGGTCCTGGGTGCAGCCAGCACTGTAGACCCCAGTGAAGGCACAGGGCCGTCCACGGCGCCGCCCACCAAGCGTCATTGCCGGTCCCTGTCAGAACCCGAGGAGCTGGTGCGCTGCCGGTCCCCCTGGCGCCCCGGTGGCTCCAAGGTCTGGACTCCAGTCTCCAAGAGGCGGTGCAACAGTGGTGGGAGCGCCACGCTGCAGGGAAGCCCGGGCGCCGTTCTGCTGAGGAGTACCCTGTGGTTGGCCAGCCCCACCTTATCTGCCACGCCCCGGCCGTCCTCTGCCAGCAGCGGCTTCGTGGACAGCAGCGAGGGCAGTGTAGGCTCAGGTGCGCCTTGGTGTTCCACAGAGCCCTGCTTGCTCTCTGTGAGACGCCGCCTGTCCCTCTCACAGGAGCAACTCGCAGGCGCGGGCACCCCCCTGCCCTCGGCCAGCAGCAGCCCCACGTCCACCCCTGAGCTGGGCCGGCCCCGCGGGCTGCTCCGCTGCCGCTCACAGCCATGTGTGCTCAGTGGGAAGAGGAGCCGGCGCAAACGGAGGCGCGAGGAGGACGCTAGGTGGACGCGCCCATCCTTGGACTTCCTGAAAATGACACAGGTGAGACTTTCTTGTTTCTGAGGGCTCAGGGAGGGCAGGTCTGAATGCGACAGTGCTGGGGTAAGGCTGGCCGATTCCCTGGGACGCGGCTGCTACCATCTGGCTGGCCTCCTCTGGACTGGGAAGAAAGGAGTGAGGAGAGCCGTTCAGAGTGGGTTGGAGTGATCAGAGCACCCAGGTCGTCCCACCTGTCCCTCAGAGGCAGAGCCCCACACAGGCCCAGGGTGGCCCGTTAGGCTCGTGGGGTGTGGCCTGGGGGAAGCAGCAGGAGCAGATGTGTGCGTTTCTGGCCTAGCTGAGCCACCTACCTCAGCTGCTGGGGAGCCCCCCAGCTTTTTCTGGGGTGATATCTCAGGAAGTGAGAGGCTATCCTGGGAGCCCCATTCGAGGCAGAGCCTGGGGTCCTCTCTTGTGAGAGGCAGTGGGTGCCCATGCTGCAGCTCAGAGCCCAGCAGCGCCTGTGCACCTTGGAACTCCACAGGCACCTCCTGCGGAAACTGTCAGGATGTGAGAGAGCCTGCACCCACCTGAAGATTCTCAGTACCGCCCACCTGCCCACACCCACCCCCATCACAGGCTGTGCTTGGCACAGAGTTCAGGAAGGAGATAGGACTGAGGAGGTGTCCCGAGGTCTTGCTCTGTGTTACTAAGTGGGTGTGTTCACCTCCGTGTGCTCAGAGACCTCTGGGACCCTGGCAGCGCTCAGGGAGCTTTGGGCAGGAATTAACAGGACTTTCTGATGCCAACTCTTGAGTGCAAACCAGGCCTGAATGGGGCTGTGGCTGAGGTGGGACGGGATCAGTGTCAGTCTCTCTCTTCAGTAACCTGTGGCCTTGGCAGCCCCCGACCTCTTGCCCCCAGGCCCATCCTCCGGGCCACAGGCCTGCCCGTGCCCTCCCTCTGAGGGCCATGGATGTGGTGGAGCTGTGCACAGGGCATGAGTGGGACATCTGTCCCTCAGATGTGTGCTGTGCAGTTTTACTCTGGTGGGCTGGGCCTGGGCATCCTGTGGGGACTGGAGAAGGGACACAGATGACCCAGGTCCTCCTCAACCTGGCTACAGCTTAGAGAGAACAGTGTGGCTGGCATGCCGGGGGGATTCCCAGGGTCCTCCAGGACACTGGTGCTTGGTCACGCCAAGGGCGCCATGAGCATGGCCTTTTCTGATCAGTGGATTCTCCAGATGATTCTTCCTGGGGGCTTGAGGTGAGTTGAAAACCCAGACTTCCCTTCTATGAAACTTTTCTGCAGAGAGCAGGGTTTAGAGAAGAAGCCTTTCATCTTTTGCTATGAGATGGGCTGACCTGGGGAAGCCAGCACATGCTGGAAAGCTGGTGGTGAGCTTTGGACACACCAGGCTGTTCCTGCTTGCCAGGGCTTTGGGTGTGCACGGCAAGGGTGTCAGGACCTGTTGGGATCAGGAGGGACAGGAGCAGAGGAGGGAGCTGCAGGCTCTGCATGTTGCTGGGTGGGGAAGGGATGGTGCCAGGGGCGTATTGATGACCGGGCAACATCAGCACGCCCTCGAGACAACCCCAGGTTTCTCAGTTGCCCTGTGGGGGCAGACTGACCAAGGGGGTGGGTGAGTGGTGATCGAGGACCCTTGGGAGAAGCTGCATGGGGCTCAATCTGGAGATGGGGTACCCCCGGCAGAGTATGAGGTGTGGGTAGAGGCAAGGACTCTCCAGACCCAGGACCAGGGCTTGTGGGCATCCGGGGTATGTGGTGTGTGGGGGAGACAGATGAGAGGAGGTCAGGGCTGCCATCCAATGCCGTGTGGTGTGTGGTGTGTGTGTATGTGTGTGGGCACATGTGGTATGTGCTCTGGGTGTGGTATGTGCTGTGGTGTGTATGATGTGTATGTGTGTGGTATGTGTGTGTGGTATGTATGTGGGGTATCGTGTGCGTGTGGTGTGGGGCATCTGTGATGTGTGTGTGTGGTATGTGATATGTGGTGTGTATGTGGTAGATGTGATGTGTGGTGTGTGTGTGTGACATCTATGTGTGGTGTGTGGTATGTGGTCTGTGTGGTAGTGTGTGGTATGTGTGATGTATGGTATGTGGTGTGTGTGTGGAGTGGGTGGTGTGTGTGATGTGTGATCTGTGTGTGGTGTAGTCTGTATGGTTGTGTGGTGTGTGTGTGTGGCGTATATGTGACGTGTGTGATGTGTGATCTCTGTAGTGTGTGTGTCTGGTACATAGGTGAGTGCTGGTTTCTCTCTGGGAGGAGAAACCCCCGCTGTGCGGGAACTGGAGCCTTGACCCCAGGACTGGGGCTGCGTGGGGCATCCATCCGTCAGATCCCCGTAGCCCCGGCTTTGGGCCCCTTGCTGAGCTGGCCTGTCCCTGTCCACACGAGCACTGACCGCCCAGGCTGCTGTCCCGTCCCCTCGGTGTTTCTCTGATTGAGTCCTCCTTCCTCTTGACCCCGGTTCTTCTGCCCCAGGCCTTCACACCCTCCTTGGCTACTGAGACATCATCCTAGTGGCTTTGTTGCCTCTAATTTGTCACCCTCAATCTTTTTTTTGAGATGGAATTTCGTTCTTTTTGCCCAGGATGGAATTCAACTGTACAGTCTCGGCTCACTACAACTTCTGCCTCCCGGGTTCAAGCGATTCTCCTCCCTCAGCCTCTCGAGTAGTTGAGATTGCAGGTGCTCGCCACTATCCCAGCTAATTTTTATATTTTTATTAGAGATGGGGTTTCATCATGTTGTCCAGTCTGCTCTTGAACTCCTGGCCTCAGGCGGTCCACCTGCTTTGGCCTCCTGAGGTGCGGGGTTACAGGCGTGAGCCCCCGGGCCCGGCCCACCCTCAGTCTTGATACCACTGGCAGAGTGAACTCTCTGCAATGAGCGCTGTCCTAGTCTTCTCCTCGGACAAGCAAACCTGAGACCACGCAGGCTTAAAACTCCACGTCTGTGTTAAAAACAAAACCAGACTGGATGGGCGCAGTGGCTCACACCTGTAATCCCAGCACTTTGGGAGGCCGAGGCGGGCAGGTCACTTGAGGTCAGAAGTTGGAGACCAGCCTGGCCAACATGGTGAAACCCTGTCTCTACAAAAATACAAAAACTAGCTGGACGTGGTGGTGTGTGCCTGTGTGCCCAGCCACGTGGGACTTGGCAGGAGAATCGCTTGAACCTCGAAGTTGGAGGTTGCAGTGAGCTGAGATCACGTCACTGCATTCCAGCCTGGGTGACAGCAAGACTGTGTCTCAAAACAAAAAGAAAAACAAAACAAGAAGCCAAAACCCAAACCATGCCCGTGCCGCCTCACGGTCAAACGCCGGGCCTGTGTCGCCTCATGGTCAAACGCTGGGCCCGTGTCGCCTCAGGGATCTGGGAGGCCAGTGGGGAGGCTCTGCTAAGGCCTCCCTGGGACTGCAGTCAGCCAAACTGGTTACCTGGAGGCTTGACCAGGGCTGCAGGACCTTCTGAAAATCTTTTTTTTTTTGGAGACAGAGTTTCGCTCTTTTTGCCCAGGTTGGGCAAGTTCACCCACGTGGCTTTTGGCAGGAGGCGTTAGTTCTTTGCCACGTGGGCCTCTCTGAGGGGCAGCCTGAGTGTGTTCACAATGTGGCAGCTGGATTTCCCATAGTGCGTGACCCCAGTGGGCTCAAGTGGGCCCCACAGAGCCCTGTGTGACCTGATCCTTACCAGCCGAGGTTTTGTCTGGTCCTTGACTCTGCCCAGCCCCTACTCAGTGGGAGGAGGATTGGGCTTCACTTTTTGAAGGGAGTGATTTCAAAACCTCTCTTCTCCGTAAGGAGTGCGGTCAGGAACAGTGCTTGTGGAATGGTGGTGTTGTTAATGTTGGCTCTCGTGTCCCCCCGGCCCTTGTGCTAGAGTTTGGTTGGCCACAGACAGGTGGCGTGCTTACAGAGCGGAGAGGCGGGTACAGAGGGCCAGGAGGAGGTGTGGCGTTACACGGTAAGCATGGGTACACATTCGTTACAGTGACTTTGTGTGTGTGTGCAAAATCACTAGAGTTTGGTATTTTAAGGAAGGCCCTGATGTCTCGTGATTGGGAGTCAGTGCGCTGCCCTGTGAGGGCGGAAACTCCCGTTTTCTGCTCGTTGTTGGTGATGTGCACACAGCTGTTTTCTTTTTGCTTGCGCTCTTGTTCTCTCTCTCTCTCTCTCTCTTGCTCTCTTTCATGGAGTTTTGCTCTTGTCACCCAGGCTGGAGTGCAGTGGTGTGATCTCGGCTCACAGCAACCTCTGCCTCCCAGGTTCCAGAGATTCTCCTGCCTCAGCCTCCCAAGTGGCTGGGATTATAGGCACCCACCACCACGACTGGCTAATTTTTGTATTTTTAGTAGAGATGGGGTTTCACCGTATTGGCCAGCCTGGTCTCCAACTCTTGGCCTCGGGTGATCCACCCGCCTCTGCTTCCCAAAGTGCTGGGATTACAGGTGTGAGCCACCTCGCCCAGCTTGTCCCGTTTTCTTTAGTGACTTTCTTAATGAGCTAGAGCAGTGTGGGTGCTGCATACCCCACTCCGCTCCCGGGACTCAGCTCCACGTGAAATCAGAGCTTTTCGTTTATTTGCTTCATGGAGTGCTGGGTGATACCTGCTCGCCCTGCAGTGTGCCCTGCGTTAAATTTAGCCGCTTCCTTCTGCTTGCCCATGAATGTTGTGTTGTCAGTGTGACAGTACTCATCACTTTCTGGTAAAAAGCAGGCTTATGGGGCAGGGGGCCTCGTCAAATGTCAGCAAAGCCCATGAAGAGACAGGCAGTGTCTTCAGGGGCCACGTCTGCAAACGCAGAGCCCTGCGGGCTTCGGCTGCGGAGGACCACTCCAGGAATCCCAAGGGCCCAGGGCTGCCTGTTTGTCCCTCTTTTCAGCTCTTCGCTTATCCCACTTGAAAACGGGCCCCCACCTTTTTCCATGCTCCTCATCTGCCACCTATGCACCCCTCTCCCTGTCAGCCAATCAGTCTTCACCCACCCCTACCTGTCCCCGGCTTGAGCCCACCCCCCCACTGCCTCCTGCTT